AATTTTCTGATTGTGAGTGTTGTCTGTCTATTATATTGTTTACTGTATGATTAAAGTCACCCATAATCACAAATTGTATTTGTCTTTTTTGTTTAGTAACTCTTTCTACAATCTTTTGTTGAATAAATCTTCCTATCATCTTGTAACTTGGTGGTATATAAATTCTTATTACCACTAGCTCCAATTGCTTGAAGTATAGCATAATTATTATCATATATTCATTTACTCTTTTGACAGCATCTACATGCTTTTTCCATTGTTCTTCTATTAGAATTTCTACACCTGACCCTTTTTTCTTGTTCTCTGCTGCATTTGTCCAATATTCTATATACTTTTTGTTTGCTGCATATACTAAAAATCTTCACTCTCTTTTAACAATATTCATTTCTGTAATTTCCAATATTGCAATTTCTTTTTCTTCTGTCCAATCTAACAGGTTCTCAAGTTTTCAACCTTTGGTCTTCAAACCATTGATATTATAACATGCTATTTTGATTTTTTTTCTTCCCTCTTTCTATCTTTCTTTTAGTTGTTCTTGTCTTATTTCTGTATTGTCAGTGTTGTTAATCACCTTTCTTTTTCTTTTTTTCAGATAAAAGGATGCTTCTTTTTCTTTTTCCTCAAACATTCTTCTTTCTTTCTGTAGAAAGGCTTCAATCTCCTTATCTGTATTCCTAAGCTCAACTAAGGTGCCCTTAAGAGTGGTCAGCTGAATCTTCACTCACCCCCAGCTGCATTTCTTCTATTCTATCTAGTCTTTCTAATATTTGAAACAAGACATCTTCTACTGGTAATATTCTTCTTTGATCTATTATATTCATTTTGGCCTTTTTTTCCTTTGCTATCACTGTCTTTTTCTTTATATCTGTGTTTTTGTCTCCTAACCATGCTTCTATATCTTGTAACTGCAGGTTACTTTCTATTTTTTCATATTTCTTAATAGGTATTTCATGTCTTGTACCTCTGACTCTTGATGCCTTTTGTCTTCTGTAATTCAACTGTCTCTCATTGCTTGACTTTGATCTTTCTTGTCTTCTGCTTCTTGACTCTTTTCTTTCCTGAGTTTTTCTTCTTTTAGGATTTTTCTACCTTACTTGATGGTTGTTATACCATATTGGTGTTGTTTAAGCTGCCTCCACTTCTTAAGCATTTGCAAAAATAATTATTGCAAACTTTTTCTGATTTCTATTTCTGTTAAATGGTATATATATTGCCTTTGCTTTCTTATTTTTTAGATATCTTAATAAAAGCACTTCTGATGTTCCTTTAGAATTGTCTAATAACTTTGCCATAAAACAGCTTTGTTTCTCTCTTTGCGTATAGTTTTCATTTTCTTCTGTTACTCTTGCTAATTTATTGTTGCTAAGAGGTAATATCCATATATTGTCTTTTTTTTTTTCCACAATCTGCTGCTATGACTGCTAGTGCTTTATATTGTGATTTTTTAATTCATATTATATGCATATTTCTTATACTTCTGCACATATATTTCAATTTTTTTTCATTAATGTTTGATGGTAAGTCCCAAATTGTTAGGTATCTTATAGTTTCTGTTTCTTCTAATTCTTCTGTTTGCAGTCTTTCTGCTTCTGTTTTAGCTTCATCTTGCTTTTATACTTTGCTTTGCTATGTTTCTTTTTGTTTGGGCTCTTTCTATTTAAGGTCTTCAGATCTTTCACTTCCTTTCTGTTGTTTATTCTTTACTCTATGCTTGTCTGTTGCTTCTTCTTGTTCTTTCTTACTCTCTACTTGGTTTCATGTTTCAACTGGAATCAGATTAAACCAACCTTTACCTTTTCACTTTATTCAATTTATTGCTTCTTCTTTTCCTCTTTCACAATCAAATGATACTTCGATCCAACTGTTGCCTTTCACAAAGACTTCTTCAATTTTTGTAATATGTCTATTTGCATTAAGCATCCATTTTACCATGCCTGTTCTTTCTAACTTTGTTTCACCTGAAACATTATAGGCAGGAATTCTCGCTATTACTGGTATTTCATTGTTACATAGTCTGTTGTCTGACACCCAGATGCTTTGTTCTAATGGCACTTCTATTGCGCCTTCTTGTAATATCATTATGTCTCCTTCTTTGTTTTTTTTCTTTTCTTCTGCTTCTATCAGGCTTGAATTGCATCATGAAGCTTCTTTATTTCTTCTTACCTCCTTTATATCTTGTTTCTGTGCTGCATATCCTTGTTCTTTTTCTGTTATTACCTGTTTCTTACCTGCTTTATATTTTTTGAATTCTTCTTTCGATTCTATCTTTCCTTTATTTTCTTTTGTTTTGACTATCTTTTTTGGCTGTTTTGCATTTTTTTGCTTTTCTTTCTTCTTGCTGTTGTAAGCTATTCTCTATCTTAAAGCTAAAATCTATCAATTTACTTCTTTTGTCCATCTATGCGATAGCTTTACTCAATGTTCTTACTGCTGCTATGTCTGCTACATCTGCTGTAAACAGTAATGCTATATATCTGTCTATTCTTGTTTCTATAACATCTGTTGTTTCTAGTGTTTTGATAAGCTTCATATTGCCAACTCTTTACAGACTTTGTGCTGTTGATCTTTCTAATACCTTTTCTAATAAACTCCCAAGTCTTACTTGTATGTATTACCTCCTATACTGATTGTTGTCATTTTATTTGTTAGTTGATTTGGTGCAACTGTTGCTATATCACATGTTTACTTTGCTAGCTATTTTCATATACATGTTTGTTTGTTTATCTTACTTGTTTTGTTATACTTTCTGTGTAACTTAGTTGATTTGTGCAAAAGGGTCACAAGGATTTCTCAAAATTTACAAAAAATTTTTTGTTTTCAGCAAAAAATTATATTTTTCCAAGCTTTGCTATTTCTATACTATTTCTATTTATATTTTGTTCTATTGGCTAGGTGTAAATTTTGTTGCTTTTTCTTTTCTACTAAGGGTCTTAGTATTGCTTCTTAGTGTGTTTTGCGATATTTTTCTTGTTTTGCTTCTCACCGATTTTGGTTAAAGGATCTGCAGAAGAGAGTTCGAATAAAAATTTATTATCAGTATTTAAAAATAATAATAATAATAATAAAATGCTTTCTTAATATATTACTAAATTATGTTTTTAAAATTTTTTTTTACCATCCTGTCAGGTTCATCAAGTTTTTCATGACAATTTGAATGAATATATTTCTATATGTCCAACTATTACTGCTGCTAGATCATACATTCTACTACTTATTATTTATAAAGAAAAACATATAATTCTAAGCCTTTTAGAAGGTGCTCTTCCTAGTTCTGTTATGGGATTTACAGAGACTGAATATATGTAGGAGTCACTTTTTCAAAAATATATTGAGCATTTTATTTACTCAATCCTATTTGCTTATTCTATTCTTTTAATTCTTGATAAGTATAAAAGTTATATTAGCTATACCAATATTAACATTTGTTATAATACCAATATCCTTTTATATACATTCCCCCCATATCACCTATATACTTCAACTAGCTGAACTTCCATTTGCATAGCTTAAAATTGCATACTATAAAGACTGTAAGCAACTTCGTATCAGTAATAATAAGAAAATCATAACTAAGCACACATTTGCCAAGGTTTTAGATCTAGTATATCTTAAAACTTACACATTTTTAACAATTTGTAATGCTTTTAAAGCAACTAAAATATGGCCTTTTAATCCTAGTGCAATTAACCCTAACCACCTTGATCCTTCATTAGTTACTAAGCAACCTGACATCTTTTCAACACAATCAATTTCATCACCTTTAACTGACATCCTTTCAACACAATCAACTCTATTACTTTTAACAACTGCAGCATTGTTTTCACATCTTTTTCCAAAATTAAGCTCAAGCAATATACATTCCTCTACACTAAGATCTGAAGTTAAAGATTTTAGCAAGAGGGTCAAAAAATTAGAAGCTAAGTTAAAAGTAACAAAAAAGGAACTGAAAACTTTCAAAAACCCTGGTATATTATCTTTACAAATGATTTTTAAGTACTCTTTGTTCTGTTCAAGCCCTATCAAAAGTAAATCTGAGATTAGTGCTAAAAACCAACCTAAGCCCTAATTGCAAAAAAGAAAAAAATAAAAAACTATATCTTTTGCTTAGCTTTTAAACAATAAAACATCATTAAAAGCATTAAAAAATGTGGAGGAAGAGGCTAAAAAAAAGGCTACTGAGATAATATACAAAAAAGATACTATGTTTCAGAAAAGATTAGAACAGAAGGCTAAAAAAGCACAAACAGAAAAAAAAAGAAGGAAAAACAATAGTTAATAGACAAAAAAAAAAAAAAAATTAAATTAAATTTTACTTAGCTGTTATATATCTGTGATCTGTGTATCAAATATCATATATACAACTTCCTAATAATTATTTTTCTGACAGACTACCATTTAATTTACATCACGCAGGTGATAGTTTAGCATTTTGTTAGTTGCAGTTATGCTTTGTTAGTAGATTTTTACATAAAGTGATATCATTTAATTGGTCTTTCAGGAAAATGACTATTGAAAAATTGATATATAACTCTGTGTTTCATTTTTGGTCCACTATCTAAAGATCACTAGTTTTTTTAAAAAATTCTTTTTTGTTATAAAAATTTTTTTTTTTTTTTAGTTTCAAGAGTTATCTTATCTGTATGTTTTTTTATTATTAGCTATATAAGATTACATATTATATATAAGATATATTAATGAAAGTACAACTAGTCATATATATAACTTTAGTCATTATCTAATTAAGAGTTCTGCCCATGGGTTACTTACTAGATGCCATACCTGAGACCTGCCTGTGAGTCTCTTATTTAAACTTTTTAATTTTTAACACTTATTGTATATATTTACAATATATATCACTAAGTATTATGACAGAACAGATTAGAGCTATCTAATTACTATTTATATCTAAATACTACTTCATTGGATATTACTAAGTATCTATAGTCCTTTAAATTTACCCTTAATGCAAACTTACTAAGTATGATATCAAGATTACTCCTTAGATTTATTTAATTTTAGTAGATTCTGTATTTACTAAAACCAGTTTTGATGCCAGAAGTGTTTGAATTTTGGTAAGTTTATTCCTTTTTCATAGTTACTTTTTATGTTTATTGTATTATCTGCTAGTGCACCTTCTTTCCATTTCTGGTATATTCACCACTTCTCTCACATTGTGCACCAACTCTCTATATTGAGAAACTTCTTTCCAGAAACTTTCTTATATACTGATTTTCTAATCATATGGACTTAGCCACAGGGCTTCACATACATTTATATACTTTTATAGATTACAGAGTTTTGCCTCTAGCTGGAATTAAACCATTAACCTTATCTGTGAAAGGAGGAACATCTAGACCACTAGGCTACAGGATCTCATCCCTTTATAAAAATTTTTTTTGTATAAAAATTTTTCTTTTAAAATAAAAATATTTTTTTAGAACTTTTAGAATAGTTATTTATTAAAATATTATAAATTATAAATTAATTTTACTATGTTATCTTATAGCAAATATTAACTGCATCATAATACCTCCTATTACCTTATATATAGTTTTAAGAATCTTAATAAAGTATTAGCATAACTGCTTAAGATTAAAAAAAAAAATTTAAATAATTATAAGCTAATTTTTTGTAAAGCATATAAGTTGGTTTGTACTAAGTTTAAAAAATATATTGATAACTATAATGCATTTTCTTTTTTTAAAGTAATTAAATATTTTAATTCAAAATTTATTTAAGCACAAAGTAATAGATATAATTTAGATAATTACAAAAAATTAACAAATTTGTATTACTAGCAAATAATTTAATTGATAAATAAAATTTATATTATAGTCTTTAAGAAATTTTTGATAATTCTTTTAATTTAAATAATTATTAAATAAAAAAAATACTTTACTAATTTTATCTAAAATAGTATTATTTTATATTTGGTTATCTGTTTTAGATATAAATATAGAATGCAAATTTTTTGTTATAAAAATATTTTTAGTAATTATAAAAATTTTTTTTAAAGTATTTAATTATAATATTTTTTTTAAAATATTAATAATAAAGCTATATCTTTATTTTATTAAATTCAAATAAAGTTATTACCAAAAAATATTTGTTTTTAAATTATATATAAAAAATAAAGACTCAGATATATAATCTGTGATCTAAAGTTACAAGAAAAACTAAGACTCATTTAAATTTGAGTATAAATAAAAATATAAAAGTAAAAAATATAGTATTTGGTCTATAGAATAATTCAAAAGTCTATTTTAGTTATAAGTTTAGAGATTAAAATAGAAAATAAAGTAGAATTAAAAAAAGGTTGTATAATAAGTTAATAATAATAATAGTTTAAGATTGTTTAGAATAAGAAATATAGTAGAAAATTTAGATATATTTATATATTTGTTAATTTAATAAAAAAGTATTTAATAAAAAAAGTTTATATAAAAGATTGTATAAATTATAATTGTAAATAAAAGAATTTCTTTGTGCAAGTTAAAAATAAAATTTGCAAAAGTGTTAAAAAAAGTTGTATTTATGATAATATCAAGAAAGTTAAAAAAAACTGATATATAATTTAAGAAGATAAACAGATAGTCCAATATAGAAAAGTGCTAGTTAGGTTGCATTAATGACAAAATAAAAAATAAGAAAAATTGTATTTGTAAAGAATATAAGAAACAGATAGTTTATTAAATAGAATTTTAACTTAGAAGATTTTAAATATAAAAAAATGAATGTTATAGCTAAAATTGATGCTTTTTTAGTTATTATTAATATAAAACAAAGTGGCTTTTTAGTTAATATCTAATACAATAGTAGTTTAAAATAAGAATTTATATTAAGATGTCCAAAGTGTTAATATATAAACTTGGCAAATAGTTTAAATAAAATAGTAAATAGAAATCTTAATAAGAAATTAGTCAAAAAAAAAATATAAGAAAAGTTATAAGAAATAATAATAAGAAATATAAGAAATAATAAAATTTGATAATTTGAGTAAGTTAATTAGCAAAATTATTAAATAGATTATTTTAATAATCAGCAATTTTGTAAAAAATAAGTTGAATATTGTAAAAGTTAATAAAATTAAAAAAGTATGCTAAATAGAAAAGTAAAAAATATAAATAAAAAAAAAGTAAATAGTAATTAATAAATACTTTAATGTTTAAAAATAATTAATTAAAAATCAGTATAAATATAAAATAAAAAGTGAAGGATGGCAATCCTAGTGTAGTAGTTGGGTTGTCATCTTCCAAGTGGCAGGTCTAAGGTTCAAATCCCACCTACGATGAAATTTGGTAATTATATCTGCATTACGATAAACTGTTTCTTGTTGATTGGTTGGATTTAGGTATCTGTAATCTTGGGTACAACCAATCGGGTTCTATTTGTTATTGGGAGCCTGGGGCATCTATGTAAAGTATAACATTACATGTATATAGAGGAATGTTAATAACCAATATCATATAAGACTTTGGTGCAAACTCACGATAAGGCCACTGGATGTAGAAGACCAAGAAACTGAAAAAACAGAAGCCTACTTAAAAATTTCCAAGTAAAGAGTAGCACAAGCCTTCGACAATGCTATCAGACTGATGGAAGCTCAGGAAACCTCAATAAAGAATAGGCAGACATGCAACCAAATGGAAAGATGTGTAGAGGAGCATATGATTAACCAGGCTACCAGAATTACTAGAGAAAAAGAATACTAAGGTATATCGTACTGGGCTATCTGGATTGGAAGTCTGGGGAGTCTGTTGGATTCTGAGTTGGACAGTAGGGAGATGAAGAGAAGAAGTCAGAATAATAGGTACTAGGGTTTGAGTAAACTTTACAAGGGTAAAAATAGTGTAACATAGCAGTTAAACAGGTAACTCCTATAATTGCAAGTGTTGGAAAACTATAGTGTGTTACATAAAACTAGGTTAGCTGTGTGTGGGACACAGAAGGCTCTAGTAATGATGCTTCTGAGAATACACTGCATGAAATAAGGTATGGGATTCTAAGAGAAATGAGTAAAAGTATCTAGACTTTCTTAACTGATGGCTGTATCAGAGATGATCTAATGACACAGTAAGAATTGCAACATAGAGGGTTTAAATAGGCAATGCTCCTAATTGAATTGCAAGTATGGCAGCTAGTGTAGAACCATTGGCAGACTACTTAAATTAGACACCAAAAGTATATATGTGGCTAGTTGTATTCTCTAATGTAAAGTGACTTCTTTGAGGCTTTGGTCATGAGTTCCTATATTCAATTTACTAAATAAAACTCTGAACCCAAAAGAGGCTAGTTTTAATATCAAAAAAAAATAAAAAATAAAAAAATAAACTAATAGTATTGAAGTCTAATTAATAAAAATATAATATAATAAAATAAAAAAACATATGATTGTTCAAAGGAAAAAAATAAAAAAATTCTGTTTCTAGTATTTTAACCAAGGGCCTTACAAGACTTGAATCTTAGCAAAAAGCTTACCTTAGCTAGTCTTGAATATATGATCTTTATTGTCTAGTTATATGCCTTATACTGTTAATCTATACCAGAAACATTACTAAATTTCAAATTTGTACTCCTTTTGGAGGTTAATAAAATAATTTAATTGTTCAATAAGAATTTAAGATTTTATATGATTTGTATAATAAAGTATTTTAAATATAAAAAGAAATAAAAGGTTTGGTTCTGCCAATAAAGAAAATAAAAAAAAATAAATAAGTGTTTAAGAAATTTAAATTCAATAGCCTCCTAGACACTATTAGATACAACAATAAAAATTTATAGAAAAACCTTCTGTGAGTATGCTGATATGTGTTATATTTTTATAGGATTAAAACTCATCAAGATATTAAAGAAAAATAAAATGTATTTAAAATTATTATTATAAAATTTCTTTTTTTTCTTTTTTTTTCTTTTTATAGATATTCATACTAAGTTAATAGGACTTAGTACTTAAATGAAAAATGTAAAGAAACTTTCTATGAATCTAAGAGAGTTAAGTTCATCCAAAACAGACAAATAAATAGTAAGATATTAAGAGTCAAAGTTTGTGTACTGATATTCGGAAAATTTTAAAGAAATTGTTTGTAACAAGAAGGAAGTTAAAACTTTAATGATTTATAAAAAATCA